AGTTTAATTAATCAAAAAAAAAAAACTTTTAAAATATATAAGTTTTTATCAAAAAAAACATTAGTTTGATTTACTATGGTGAAAACTTTGTAACTTTTTAACTTTGGTTAACTTTTGGTTTAACTTTAACTAACAGACGGCCATAAGTTTAACACACAATAAAACCAAACGTATTATGAAATAAACATAGACAATCAGTTATAAAGCATACATTAATGATATACGATGATGTAATATTCCCATGATATCTACAAATAAAATCGATACGTAGGTTAAATGTTCAGGGCATAATTGGGGTGATCCAATCTGTGGGTTATTTTGGTCATGGAGGAAATCCGTAACAGTTCTAAAAAGAAAAAAAATCTTGTTAAAATTTTCAAAGCCTGATCTTCCTGATTCCACATCCATTTTGTCTGTGCAACTTTTGCCTATTTCTTACATACTGATTTATTGCCACTTATTTTTTAAAATTTCCTCATAATGACAATGCACACACTGCGTATGTGACCGTCGGCAGGGGGTACTCACTCCTCCATGGCACGTGATTTGATATTTTAATGATACATGTGTGCGCTGCTTCTGATTAGCTTTATTTAATGAACCATTAAGCCCAAACACCGTTAATTATCTCCATTTGGAAGTGTTTCATTTTGATATTTGATAGGCTCAGTTTCTAGCTATAAAACACATCTGAGAACAAATACAAAAAATGGAGGTTGCTTTCTACAGGAAACATGTTTCTGTCGTTTGATTATTCTCCCACCAGATATTGAATAGGAAGTGTTAAGCAATTGTATTGATGATATCTGAGAACATACATATTTTTAAAAGATATATTTCAATCAAAACACATCAAACTTTAAAATCTCGCCCTTAAAAAGTATAATATATATCAAGAAAGAAAAAAATCAATGAGAAGTGTGACGTTCAAACTACCTACAGGGTAAAGCTCTATAAAGTTTGATTAAAAGTAAGTTTAGACAATTCTTGGCTGAAAACCTTATTCCATTCGACAATACCGTCTTACCAAATAACAGGTACGCTTCTCACAGTTGTAACTTTTAAACATTAAAAAAAATCAATTTTCTCCTTTCCTTCTGATAACTTTAAATCAATAACAATCGTACCCTCTGAAAATATTAAATCAATTTCTCTCTACCTTTTGATAATTTAAAATCAAGATATTCTCTACCTTCTATACTATTAAATCAGTTACCTCCCTACCTTCTGATAATATAGAGGATAATGACTATACAGATGTTTAGTATTTGTTATAATATCGGTAGAAACGATACATTTGAAATAAACATATACCCAGATGTGAATATTGCCACTTTTATTCAAAATTAAAAATAAAACACGGACACTGCATGAAAAGCCGGGTTTAATTTTACCTTAAATGCGATTTAAATGTTTCGATTATTTAATGTTTAAATGCATAATATAACATATTGTGCGATCGTAAATGTTAGAAAACAATTAGCATTTAATACGAGTTTAATGAAAAATTAAAAGAACAAATTTAATAAAGTTTGGAAAATTGTAAACTTACTAATACGTTCGGATTTAAGTCTGCCGTAAACAAATATTATACCTCTAATATACAGAACGTATAATTATTATTAAACATGGCCATTAAAAGAAATTTTATGGTCATATTAAATTTGTTCGTTTAATAAAATTTAACGTAGATCTTTACCTCATTATTTTTTGTGAAATTCACACTATACTTTATAATACTTCCAAAAATTAAGTTATATACGGAAAATTGTAAACCTACTAATACGTTCAAATTTTATTCTTTCATAAACTAATATCAAATCTCGTGTATATGTGATGAAAATGTACGGATTAAACCTTCCCATATAATTAAGATTTAGGTTGTATTTGATGAAATTTAATATTATTATATTATTGCATAATATTTTTATTTTACATTTATTCCATCAATAATTTGTATGGTTTACAATTGTGGGTTGTTTGGCAAGTATTTCACAATCATACACAAATCCATTTCTCATTCAATTTTATTAGATGTTATCTCAATAGTGAAACAATGAGTTCTAACAAAGTACAAGATATTTCAAATGTATGCCTTAAAGTCAGAATTTAAAAATTTACTATCATGACTGTAGCTCAATTATAATGGAGTAAATTTCTACATACTAGAGGTAACTAATATGCTGAAGTAATTATAAATAATTTAATATAAGAATAGAATTGTATGTAAAATTTAAATCCGCAATAAATCAGAACACAACAGGTCAAAAATGTAGTCTTTCTGGAGTCCAAAAGACTGCAAAATCTGACTGAAACTGTCCCTATTAAAACTGCTGCATGGGTTGTAAATGGTTTTTCAATTTTTCATACTTTGCATAAAAAGAATAAAAGTTGCCAATAAAAGTTGTCCATTCTTTTTACATGTACATTTTAATAAGACACTAAGCCATTGACAGAGAAGCCTCACTCGCCCACAAGCAACAGCAAAAGGATCGGTCAGAGACACCACCTCTCTCTTACTTGGGTATCAAGATCTGCAACTTACTGCCAGCAAAGCTCTTTCAGACCACCCTTATATTGTTTCCCAAGTATTTCCACAATAGATGTCCATGCACTAATTATCCAAGTTCAACTTGTAAAATACTTAATGTTGACTGTGAAAAATACAACACCCCAAAAAATCTTTCATATAATATGGTTATGTCAATTCAAATTAAGGAAAAAGTATCACAATTACACAAAACAATAGCTGCTTAAATTTCTTTACAATACATGTAGCTCATTTCTGTTCCAACTGCTAGGTTTATTGCTTCATGATTGTAGTTTAACATATCCTCATTAAATCAACTTTACACTGGAATGCAAGACATTTCAATAGTGATATTTTAAACTTTGCCTTAAAATATCAAGAATGAGCTCTGAAACATGCACATATAAAAGTCCTGTATAAACATATGTAAAAGTATATTTAACAAATTTTCAAGCCTTAATTACATTTCCATAACTCATAATTCATAAACTCTCTTACTTCAAATGGAAGGAAACAAATTAATATTTTTACTTTTGCAATTCTCATTACTCTTACAATATCAATTGTAATATTTATTAAAATCACAATTCACCCCTTTTTCACTCAGAAATGTCTCTACCTCATTTGCCTATTCTATTTTATACATCTATGACTCACTAAGCCACTGACAGAGAAGCCTCACTCGCCCACAAGCAACAGCAAAAGGATCGGTCAGAGACACCACCTCTCTCTTACTTGGGTATCAAGATCTGCAACTTACTTCCAGCAAAGCTCTTTCAGACTACCTTTGATCATGATTGTCTTATTTTTTCCACAATAATGTCCATGAACTTATTATTTAAGTTAGACTTGTACATATATGTAATATATGAATCAAGATTAAAATGTATGTGATTGCAGATTACACAACAATCTAAAAAATGTTTAAACAATAAAATACATAACAGTTTAAATCTGTAATCAAGCATCAGAAAAAACTTTCACTGTCAAAAATACAACACTATGTTATTTTTCTTATCTAACATTGAATGTGTCAATTAAAGATAAGTAAAACAAGAGGCCCAGGGGCCACAGCGCTCACCTGAGCACATCAGGCTTGAATTTACTCCCCCCCCCTCCAGGCGTTCATCATTTGAACAAACTAGAATCTACACTACCTGAGGATGATTCCATATGAATCTCACTAATCATAGCTTTGAAGTACTTGAAAAGAAAATTTTAAAAGGTTTCCCTATATATCCCTATGTAAAACTTGGGTCAGCCATTTTGGCCCCACCCTAGCCCAGGGGGTCATGATTTGAACAAACTTGAATCTACACTACCTGAGGATGACTCCACATGAGTTTCATCTTTCCTGTCCTAGTGGTTCTTGAGAAGAAGATTTTTAAAGATTTTTCTTATATATTCCTATATAAAACTTGGGTCGGCCATTTTGGCCCCGCCCTTGCCCAGGGGGTCATGATTTGAACAAAATTGAATCTACACTACCTGAGGATGATTCCACATGCGTTTCATCTTTCCAGGTCCAGTGGTTCTGGAGAAGAAGATTTTTAAAGATTTTTCCTATAAATTCCTATGTAAAACTTGGGTCGGCCATTTTGGCCCCACCTTTGCCCTGGGGGTCATGATTTGAACAAACTTAAATCTGCTCTACCTGAGGATGATTCCACATGAGTTTCATCTTTCCTGGCCCAGTGGTTCTAGAGAAGAAGATTTTTAAAGATTTTTCCTATAAATTCCTATGTAAAACTTGGGGCAGCCATTTTGGCCCCACCCTAGCCCCGGGGGTCATGATTTGAACAAACTTGAATCCACACTACCTGAGGATGACTCCACATGAGTTTGATCTTTCCTGTCCTAGTGGTTCTTGAGAAGAAGATTTTTAAAGATTTTTCCTATATATTCCTATGTAAAACTTGGGTCGGCCATTTTGGCCCCACCCTTGCCTAGGGGGTCATGATTTGAACAAACTTGAATCTACACTACCTGAGGATGCTTCCACATGAGTTTCATCTTTCCTGGCCCAGTGGTTCTGGAGAAGAAGATTTTTTAAAAATGCCATTAATTTTTAACAAATTCATGATTATCTCCCCTTAGAAAAGGGCGTGGCCCTTCATTTGAACAAACTTGAATTCCCTTTACCCAAGGATACTTTGTGGCAAGTTTGGTTGAAATTGGCCCAGTGGTTCTTGAGGAGAAGATGAAAATGTGAAAAGTTTACGCCGACGCCAACGACAACGACAACAACGACAACGACAGACAACGGACAAATTTTGATCAGAAAAGCTCACTTGAGCCTTCGGCTCAGGTGAGCTAAAAAGCATCATTTGTGCAAAACAGTAGCAACTCAGATATTTCATCTCTAATAGCCCATCTCTGTTCAATTAATACATCCATAGGTTTGACTCTTTTATTTAGATTCTTTGTTTGTCCTAGTTCTTCTTAAGCTCTGCCTTTTAGAGTGCTTTGATTTGAGAATAGCACTTTTGATGTCCTGTTCTTTGAGGACGTCAAATTCATCAGAACGCCACTTCAGTTTTCTAATTTCATAGATAGTATCATCTTTCGAATCATTTGTGCTACGAAGACATAATCAATATTTAAAACTGCTTCTTCTTGCTTTTTCTTCTCTTCATCCCAAGAAGTTTTCAGCTCTGGAGAAGCACATATAGCTCCTAATTTCTACAACAAACATAAAAATAAATACCCATTTGCCTATATATACATATTATATGTGTGCTTCCGGATTTATGCAATTGCATATATTAAATAGTACACAAAATCTGAGTTGTTTGTAAAATTATCAATTGAACTAGAGGAAACACAGCTCAATTTTGCTTAATTAAAAAATTTACAGAAGACCACAAAAGATATGCCATTTTTTCAAATCTGGGTAATAGAGACAGATAATTATCTCTAATTCAGGCCAGCGAGCTACAGATTTTGAAGCTAATGTTGTTATACATGTAAATTGGGGACTAATGATTTTTTCGCCATCTTTTTTTTGGAGCATTTTACCACTATGTTTACCTGTTTGACCTTGAACATGTTGAGGTGCCCTTTTCTCTGCTCCTCCACAATAATTCTTTCATTTAGCAGCAAGATAATATGGATATGGTAAAAAGCTGTCATAAACAAAATAAGACAAATTAATAACAGGTATAGCTCTCTGTAGAAAGAATATACAAAACAGGAGAAAAAATATACAAACAGGGTGTACTTATGACTAAAGCAAGAAGATAACATTTTACACAATGAAAAAAATTCTCTGTGTAATCTAGTTAAGTGAATTGCATTAAAAAAAATAATAATTTGTATAGATCAAATTTATAGACGACAAAATATGATATGAAACATACATAATGGTACCGTAGTCCGAGCACATAGAATTTGAAGATTTACAAAGTTTAGGAAAATGCAAAGAATAGCATTTACAGCATTTAACATATTAAGACACACGTATATATAGTAGCAAGCTACAGAATTTGTGGAAGTACATTGTACATGTAAATTGGGGACTGGTGACTTTTTGGCGGTTTTTGCCATCTGTTTTTTTTTTTGGAACAATTTAACTCCGATTTACCTGCTTGACCTTGAATATGCTGAGATGCGCAGCCCTTTTCTTCGTGTTCCTCCACGATATTTTATCTAGCAGAAAGATACTATTGATAAAAAATATGAGAAATTAAAAGCAGGTATGGCATCTCGTAGAAAAAATATTGAACAGATGTATTTATGATATAGAGCAAGTAGATAACATTCATACAATAATAAAATCCTTAAACTTTGTGATCTAGTACATATTATGATATGTATTAGATTAAAGATAGAGATGACAAAACATGTTATGAAATGGATGTACATACTAGGAACACATGGAATTTAAGAATAAACAAAAATGCAAAGGTTAGCATCTACAGCATTTAACATACAAGTTATTGGGATAATGAGCAAGTGATTTAACATAAAGTAAAATATATTAACAACTTACACTGTAGATAGCAGGTTTTTAAAGTGGACAGCAAATGTAAACTTCCAGTAAATGGTAGCAATCTCATACACAATAAGTCGTACAACAAATGATTAGTTCGTACCTCATACCGGGTAGCCAAATATCAGGTCAAGTCACTTTCAGAAGGAAGGCTCAGCAAGTTCAATGTTGATCATTCCCATAGCTACTTCAAACTTTTCTGGCACAATTTCTAAAAGAAAAGATGTATCTTGCAGGGTTTTTTTTGTTCAAACTAGGAATAATTCTCATGAATGTAAAAATTTGAAAAATTTATAGATCATGCGTTTACAGACAAATACCAGACACAGATCAGAAAACTCGCTCAGGTCTTAAAATGGCTCAGGTGAGCTAAAAAAATGAATTCATGTGATTTTATTGATCTTGTCAGAAAATTTAAGAAATCTTACCTTTGTGTTAATCTTCATACTGCTTTTGTCATTTCTTGTGAGCATTTGGATTCCTGTAAATAATGCATGCATAATTGTGCATCATAAAATATGATAACTATCTTTAATAATTCATGCTTAAGCATTTAACATAAAAAATTATGCATAGCTCAGAATCCACTGCTATTGTATTTTTAGGATAAGGAAAATAAGAATATAAACCTCGTATTGTTTACTTGCTTTATAGCATTTCAAGTTGTTGCAATATTTTTATATTATTATGCTAAAAGATACAAGTTAATAAAAACATAGTTAGTTTATTTCTGTTAATAAAAAATTTGAGCTGCATGGTTCTCACCATTTTCACAAGCTGTCTACATAGCCGGCGCTGTGGGGAATCGTCTCAGGCACAGTCCACACTGCAACTATTTAAATAATCAAAATAAGTGCTCAATATATTCTTGAGTATGCATTAAGAAAAAAAAATGAATATTTTATTAATACATTGTACAACACACTCTGTAAATGCTGAACAGAGGAACATTTTAGTGACTAAAATTCTGAAACCAATCCCAAACGAGAAAATTCTGGTTAAAATCCATCTCTAAGAGAGATGATTAAAAGTATTAAATAATTATTACAAAATTAAAATAGCGCTTGCCCAAACGTTTTTACTGCCAGGCATTTTATGTGTAGAACCCAGACTAAGGAACAGTAACATTATTAGTAGCAGAGGCAATTATCCATTCAAGGACACATGATAAAATTTTGTACATTGTTCCTACCGCTAAACAGGGTCGTAAATGTCTTCAACTTCTGTTAAAACAGAAATTCCATCCAAAGCTTATCATGCTTCTCCTTTCGGGTCACCCTCCTTCGTCCCTTCCTCCCGTACAACATCATGATCAAGTTCAACATGGCTGCGTGGAACCCTCCAAAAAATTGAATTTCGGCGCGGTGTGTTGTTTTTGAATTAATTGCTTTTCGAGCCCGACTTCGATCCCGATGTAATTGTACTACAGTAGTAGTCGATAGAGAAAAAACTAAGTTATATACCACAGTTTTGAAAAATCTACATAAGGGTTAAATAAATAAAAATGAGAAATGAATAAAATAAAATTAATAGGGTGCCTAAATATTTTTTTTTCAAAAATGTTTCAACATAAGTTTACATTAGGTATAAAGAATTATTTATGACATATTCAAAATACCAAAAATGTACTTAAACTTTAAGTTTAAGCATATTTACTTTCACATGTCAATATTCTTAAACGAAACGTATAATTTTCTCAATTAAACTATATTATTCTCGACGTATTTTGCATTAAATATGATTATACTTATTTGAAAACTGTATTTAATTATATCACAATATATCTCATGTAAAATGTACCGTTATACATAAATCAAATTCAATACAAGAAATTTACTGGAGTAAACGAATTTATTAAATTATATTAAACGCGACTTTTCATGCAGTGGGATTTTAATATACATTTTGTCAAGAATAAAGATAGTTTATATTCATTAATAAAGATGAAAAAAAAAACATTACTTATGATTTTTTTTTTGAAATATTTTTGAGGCCACGATGGGTACCATATCTGATTAAACTCCTTGACCTTTTATTTAAAAAAAATTAGAAAATAAAGATTCATTAGGCCAGGGATCCTTATATCCAATACGTAATTACTCCGTAATCTAATTCATATTATTTTGCCATTTTGTAATTTATCAGACAAAGGGTATGCACTTGATAGTATTTGTCATCGACGGTTATCTACATTTTAACAAAGCAGGCTTGCTGTTAGCTTCTTAAAATGCATGGTTGGTTGCTGCATTAATAAAGAAACATAGAAAATATTGGCATACCAATGGAATACATTGAGATAAGAACCATGCATAGTATATGTATTTTCTTTTTAAT